ACATTGTCGAGACAGTCAGGAGGGCGACAGATCTAACGGTGCGACTAGCAAACATCACATTGTCGAGACAGTCAGGAGGGCGACAGATCTAACGGTGCGACTAGCAAACATCACATTGTCGAGACAGTCAGGAGGGTGTCAGATCTAACGGTGCGACTAGCAAACATCACATTGTCGAGACAGACAGGAGGGTGACAGATCTAACGGTGCGACTAGCAAACATCACATTGTCGAGACAGTCAGGTGGGCGACAGATCTAACGGTGCGACTAGCAAACATCACATTGTCGAGACAGTCAGGAGGGCGACAGATCTAACGGTGCGACTAGCAAACATCACATTGTCGAGACAGTCAGGAGGGCGACAGATCTAACGGTGCGACTAGCAAACATCACATTGTCGAGACAGTCAGGAGCGCGATAGATCTAACGGTGCTTCTAGCAAGCACCACATTGTCGAGACAGTCAGGAGCGCGATAGATTTAACGGTGCGTCTAGCAAGCACCACATTGTAGAGACAGTCAGGAGCGCGATCGATCTAACGGTGCGTCTAGCAAGCACCACATTGTCGAGACAGTCAGGAGCGCGATAGATCTAACGGTGCGACTAGCAAACACCACATTATCGAGACAGCCAGAAGGACGATAGATCTAACGGTGCTTCTAACAAATACCACATTGTCCAGACAGTCAGGAGGGCGATAGATCTAGCAGTGCGCCCAACAAACACTACATTGTCGAGAGAGTCAGAAGGTCGATACATCTCTAACAGTCCAACTAACAAACAACAAACAGGGATTAACATCCAATTACCATACAGTAGCCTGAAAAGTTTTACACTAGCACTTAATCGGGTGCAGTTTAATCACGTCTGGTCCGGGCATTTTGAGGAAATAGCCGGTGGGTCCAAGTGTTATCAAAAATAGAGTTAACTACTCGTTTTCTATACAATATGCCGGCCTTTAAACACTAGGCCTACAGACAATCCTACACCCTATTTGCCGGCATTTAAACCACAGTTCTACGGACAGTCCACTGACAGTTCTACAGACAGTCCTACAGACCATCCTAGACCCTATTTGCCGGCATTTCAACAACAGTCCTACAGACGGTCCTAAAGACAGTCCTACACCATAACCTTTGGCTTTTTATTGATTAATATGATGGTCTCCTCCCACTAAAGAACAAAAGATGTCATTTTGACTGGAGTTCAAACGCCACGAGAGAAAGTGCGCTGCGTGACAGCCTTTTTTCTTCCCTTCCGTACTATAAATATATAAAATGTTGAGTAAACAACAAAGGGGAGTTGGGGGGTGGGTTGGGGGTGAAAACGCAGAAAGGGCACACAGGGGTGAAGTAAATATAAAGAGATAGAGAAGTTAAGAGTTGGCCAAGGGGAGACAACAGAAACATTTTTTTAAAAATAAAATATTTATTGATTTTTTTGGTAAAAGTTAGATTAATTCAAAGAAACGTAAAAAGTGTGGAATAGATCAGTTCTTTTAAACCAAGTTAGCTTTGCGTAACAACGCACACCAGTACTTAGTCAAACTTTCCTGTCTCAAAGTGGACAAATATAAAGTCTAGCTCAGAGCATTCAGGAGTGTGTCTTCTGCTATGTAGAGGGTTACTTTGATTTATTTCAGTGGCGTAGCAAAAAGGGGGGGGGGGTGCGGACCGCACTGGGTGACACCAGCTGGGGGGGGGGGCACGACGACGCCAAGTGAACAAAAAAATTTACAGAGCACAAAATGCCCGAATCAAATTGAATTTCATTATAGGGAAACCGATCGCACTTAAATTTTGCCCACATATAACCAGTCCAAAAGGCTTGCTTTGTTTAGATTTCAAGGATGATGCGTTAAAAATGAGGTGAACCTATAAATAGGTCAGAAAAACACAATTTTTATCACGGTGTAACGCCCATTCAAGTGTTTGGTAACTTTCGTGATAGGAAACTAAATATATATATATATATAATTTCTGAAAAATAAAGCTTTCCATTGATATCAAATACAATGTAGTCAGGCGATTATAAATTCCCTGCCTGAATGAATCGGTAAAAATTAAAAACATTTTAAAAATGGCTTTTTACTCATTTATAGGGTTTGCAAAATAATATTGTGCACACTTTTCTTATATCTTTAATAATTAATTTAAATATTTTTTTTAAAAAAAAGAAGATTTTTAATCTAAATATATATCAATGTATAACCTCTTTCTATGTTGAATTATCAGAAGATTAGCTTTTAAAAGAAATATTAAGGCTTAGAAGACACCTAAAGGCAGCTGATATTGAATTTCCCGTTGACCTGTCTTTTCTTTTCAAGCCTGTGGTAAACATATCTTGTTCAAGACTGTATCCAAGGCATTATAGTTATGTATCGCAATCTATGGCTGATTTTTGCGCTTGCGAACAAATTTAGATGTCTTTCATGTAAAGTGTTCTAGTTTTAAAATGTCTTGCTAGGATATGTATCTATGTGCTTAAAATCATTATACTTTGACCTTGTATGCTTGTACTTAGTTTTTGTAGTGTTGCGTTTGTTTTAAATGTGGTAAACTATAGATTTGTTTTTTGTTGACTTTGTACCGCGCTTCGAGCCTTTGGGGATGAAGCGTGTTTTTGAAATGAACTTTATTATTATTATTATTATGCACATTGAAATTAAAATTGTAACAATTCCACTTACTTGGATTTTTTTTTTTTTTTAAAGAAAAATATTATTTTATAGGATTGGGTAAAGTGGGCGAGGGCGGGGGGATAGGTTAACGATTGCTTATTTAAATTGTTTTGTGATAAATATCGGTCTGCAAGGGCATTTTATATTAAATGGCTTTGTTATGAATATGTCATTGATATTTCATCCACAAAAACAATTTACCAAATTTTCTATTTAATTTTTAACATTTCAGTCAACAAGTATTTAGCATGATCTAATACTAATATGGATTTTTTTTCCAAGTAACTGCCATTCCGAACAGTTGGTTTGTTAATATTTTTTTTTTCTTTTCGTACATTAAAAAAATGTTTTAAAAAAAACAACAACAAACAATTACAAATTAATTCATTGTAACCACTGATCAAGGCGAAGTTAAAAACTCGTGATTGCTCCCCTTGTTACCGGCTAAAATTGTTGAATAAAATAAAAGGTGAAGGTTACTTATCGTTTAAGGTATGACATATTCAAATACCTTCCTATTATCGTATCGATTACATAAATTAAAAAATTAAATTTCATTTAGGATTTAATAGCCTTAGAAATTAGTGCTTTTTTAGGCCTAATATTTAAAAGTGTTAATCTTTCATTGAATTAAAAATTATATATAATTCCTTTTCAGCTATTTTCATTTGATTTCTTAATTTCTTACATTATCACCGCTCCTTCAATATTTTAATTGTTGTTTCAAATGGTTGATATTAATCTATGTTTCCATTTGCTTGGTTTTTAAATCCTTTTTTCTATTCATGAAATTTAAATTTAAGCAAACTTGTGTCTAATTATTTATACCATCATCTTTATAAAAAAAATATATATATATTTTGATCAAATGATTCAGGTTGAGCACACTTATTTAATGGTATAATAACATGTCTACGCACATTTATTTAAAGTTGATGCTTGTGATGGATCTTTTTGATTAAGTGTATTTCTTAATACTTTAAAATAAATTTTTTTTTTTAAATTCAATGAACGTCATTAATTGTAGTAAATGTAAATTTACTACATCAACAGTCAATCTAACTAGAATGCATCTCGATACTCCGGCACAAAATAGCCCATGTTTGAAGGACGTTACAAGAGATTCCCTTCACTTCCGGAGTTGACATCAGTCCCCCGGCAACAACATTTATGAGCCTTACGTTGTCACGGATTTGTGAAATGTAAATATTTAAATAGGTTGCTTTCTTTTAAACAATTTGTTTTTTGTAACATTTTTTGTTCCATAATACTATTCAGGCATATCTTTATTGCTGTTTAAAGCCTAAGTTGTTTTAAGTGTTTTCACTGGGCATTTGAAAAGTTAACTGAAATGACGGTCATTTAAAAAAAAAAATCGCCTGCCTACTAATTAATAATTTAATATTAATTAATTTAATCATACATTTCATTTTTGACTTCATGGTCATGAGTTGACCGTTGATCTCTAATGGCAGTTGAGTTGGCGTTGTGTTGTAATTTGCTTTTTAATGTATTCAGTAATTCCGAGGTTAAATTAAATATTATCCAGTAATGAGTAATGACTTTGGAATACTGGTAGATACTTTGGTGGATGGAACTAACTTTTCTTACAATTTACAGTTACAGTTAACTTAGTAGCTATCAATATATTTCAATATAATGAAATCCCTTTTGTAATATAAAAACAGACACACACAATTTAAAAAAAATTATACAAAACCATACAGAATAGACAAACGGCAAGCTTTTGTTCTGTACATTTTTATATATCCAGGGAAAGATAATTTCCTAATGCCATTTTCTGAATAGCTCCTCAAATGTTGTTCCAGCTGGCCGGGGCCTGGCTCTGGTTCTTCATAACTGAGACTAAACTATTTAATTTTGCAGTGTTCAGTCAGTTAGAAAGAGACTAACTTTTAAGATTTTTGACAATCCCTCCCCATTCAACACCAATATTAGGGATAACAATACTTGTCCACGCACCGTTCTGCGCATGTCCTAAAATGTCGAAAAAACGTGTTCTGCAATATGGCGTACAGCAACACGGTATCATTGGGAAATTGCAGACTACGTCACCTTTGTTTATTAAATAATTGCTTTCCTCATCACTGACGTATCAGTTTTTGTGTTCCGGTCATATATTGATTTATGCTACGATATTTTTTTTGCATCACGTGCAGTATTATGATGATGACTCGGTTAGTATATAAATCGCATAAATACTTTTTTACTAGTAAAGCCACCAAAATAAGGTTTAGTGCTCCCTAATCTACATTCATTGTAAGAGTTTTTTCATTTTTTGGGTTATTATCGTTGAGCTCTCGATAAAAAGTTATGCAACCCGCGAATAAGTGGGGGGTAAGAAATTATCATTATTTTTTTTATTTTGATAGAGAAGCCGGAAATGGCTGCTATCACTGTTATTCGCTAATGTTAAATCCTTAAACATCTAAATAATTATAAGACGTTTAAAATGAATCATTTTAAGAAAAGATTATAAGCAAACTTGAAAAGTTTATGTAGTAACCAAGGGTTGGTTTTAAGCTTTATTTATTATGTTAAAAATTGTGTAGGTACCGGTACACAGCTTGAACGATTAAACTGTGTACCGGTACCTACACAATTAAATATTGATTCAATTATGAATAAACGATTATTCATTATTGAATCAATATTTAATAGTTTTACAATAGTAATATCGATAATAATAATCGTTTTTCTCTTATTAATTATTTCAGAGAATATTACTAAAATTAGGCCTACTTATCATTATCAGTTATAAATATAATTATAAACAACTGTTATTATAATCCTATAATTGTCTATTTAGGCCTAAGCTTAATTTTTCTTACTAATTCTATTACAAGCCTATAAGTTCTATATATATAACAGTTTTATTAAAATACATCAAATTAATAAACAAGACTCAAACAACATCATCATAGCAATTATATTTTTATTAGGACATAGAAAAGCAGTACATATACAATTATTTAATATATAAAATAATTTTTTTAAAATGAATTAGTCTCATCATTATCATATTATCATCATGGATGATATTTGAGTAATTTTTATCTACAATTACATGCTTTCAGTTTTATAAATAAAAAAGACTACTTACCTTTTTATAAATATAATAATTGATCTAAAATTAACACAAGCATAATAAAATTAGTTAAAATTCAATAAATAATAATAAATATGGACATATGGTGTTTGTTTTTTTTTCGTTTTTTCCTGTATAAATATTGATTTTCCCAATTTTTCTGTTCACTTTTTTCTGAACATACCCACAAATAAATTTATAAAAAAATGAGAGTCTTAATGTTATATAAAAGTTTTGTTGTTAATTACACTGTATATTGCATTGAGAATGTCTCCTGAAAATTTGGTAGCATTATCTTTTAAAATCATAAAGTTTTGGTTAAAATAAGGCAGAAATTTTGAAAGTGGGTCACATGTTTTTTTCAGTTTAATACTAAGATAAAGAAGGGGGTGTTAAAAAATCACCAAAAAAATCATAACTCCACTTCTATAAAAGATAGAAAGATGAAATTGGTGTTGTTTAAAGCTTATAGCTGGCCCTTTAAAATGATGTATCATTCATGGCAATTTGACAATATTTAAATTTTGTGTCAAAGTACCTACCAATATGGTTACAAATTCATGATCAGTCCCCCACAGACATGTAACATCATGGTTAACTGAGAATAGGTGTCTTTACAAAAAATTTATTTTCAAATGATTTGATTACAATAGCACTGTTGACAGTTGAACAAATTTAAAAAGTGTCTAAAAGTGAATACCTTAGCAAAGCATCCAATGATTTGTGGCTCCAAACCGTTATGGTTAAAAGGCCAGGGTAAATTATCCCCAAAGGTTTGAAGTGAAAAATGTCATGACCCACAAATGCTTTCAAAATTACTCTTGAGTCAGGAGGCTGTCAATCATTGCTGCCTTTTTCAACAAACATATCTTGATTTTCCACACTAAAGAATATTAATGTAAAAAAAAACAAAGGAGAGAAAACAGTTATAGGACCCATAGTCAGTATTCACATTGCTCTCACAATTTTTGGAAGTTATTGTATTAAAAATGAAGCAGGATTTCTCTGAATTTGAAATAAAAAAATTTTCCAAGAAATCCCTTTGTTCACCTTTGTTATACTGAGTATATATATATATAAATGTATTCTCTATATAATAAATCTATGATTTCTTCCTTTCAAGTCATGTGTAATGTTGGCTTGAAAAAATATATTTTGTGGTAGTAATGGCTACGAAAGTAATATTATTTTAATTGATTTATTATTAGTTTAAATTAATTATAGTGTACATCTTATTATTTATATTATAATAGTCATGAGTTCATAAACTAAATCTATATTAATCTCTTTATCACAAATTCACAGCTAATCAAACAAGGACATCCAGGTTACTTTTTCCTCAGTGGTGAGCATATATAATTTATAAATATAATTTGTTCCTTTATTTACATTCATTTTATGAGAACGGGAGGGTTAGTTGAGGAGTATGTTGGTAGTCTTGTAGTAGAGTATTGAAAGTTTCCTTATTGATTAGGATGCTGGTAGTTTTTTTTTAAATTTTGTTATTGTAGATTACCAGAGAGGGGAGTGTTCCTCAGATTTCTATCAGTGTAGTGTTCATTGTAAATAATAGAGTGCTTTATATTTGAATTTTCAATTGATTAAAGAAGAGCTATGGCTATAGATAACTTGATCAGTGTGTTGGTGATTATTTAATTTTTCCTTAAAGTGTGGCTAGCAAGTTGAGAGAGTCGATATTAATCATACCCTAGATTCAAAGAGCCTGAATTGCCAGACAGTAGAAGCATTTGCCTCATACATGTTTGGAAGTTTGTATAAATTAACTTATAAGTATAAGTCAGTCAAAGCATTTAGGCTATTCTGGTTAAACAAAATTAGGAATTTCAAAACCATGTTTGGGTCATTTATTCATTTCAAACTGATTAGAATAAATAAATAATAGTATTTTGAAAGGAATTATTGTATCTGTATAACCACTGTTTTCAGGAATAAAATGGAAATTATAATTAAAAGTATGCATAGATTGCTCTATTGTTCAACTTGTGAATCAAATCTTTCCTATTATTAGTAATGAAGATATTTATCATTTTCTGCCGGCTGTATTAATGTTTTATTTCTCCAAAATTTAATTCTTTACAAACATACATGAACTCTGTTTGGAAAGTTAAAAAACTTTAACCTTAAATGTTTTTCAAAGAAAAGTTTTAAAAAAACATTCTATGTTAAAACATAAGGTTAAGTTAAAGTAGCTTTCAATTATTGGGATAATTCAACTATTCTTATGCTAGGACTATTAAATTTTTTTTTATCAATGTTAAATTAAGGACAGTGCTAATACAGATGTCCTCCCAACATTAAAAATTACAAATTTGTACAACATTGGTTGAAGAATTAAATTATCTATTAAGTACAAAGTCAATTTGTAATTTCTTTCCATTGTCAATAGCTCCGTTTTTCAACCATGCTATAAGTTAAAAATTAAATTATAGTAATTTTGTCAATATCAAAGCAAATGTTAACAAGCAACAAAAAATGGGTTCACATTCACTTTGGCTTATGGGGTGTAGTTAAGTAAAAATTTAAGATTATTAATGGGAAAGGTGGTTGGGATTAAAGATTCATAAAAAATGTGTATTCATGATATTAATCATATAATATATGTTATATGGATGTAACCAAATCCAAGCAAAAATTTAAAATCTTAAAATGTTATGTTCTCTTTAATAGAATATGCGGATATAAAATAATTAATTTTGTTTCCAGACTAATGTGGCCCTAATCTCGACAAGCTCAAACGTCCATCATGCGGGGTGCAAAAATAGCTAAAGGTTTATTCTACCTGTCTGTGGCAGGCGCAGGAGCTTTCTACACTGCCACTGTCATCTACCCTAATATTGCATCACGATACAAAAAGGTAAGTCAAGTAAGTAAATAAATCATAAGTTTAAAATATGTTTTGCCTCTGGAAATGTTGGCTAATTTAAATTCATTTCATTATTGTTAACGCATTAGGGATGACCAAAGTATTTGAAAGATGGCTTTTTTGTTTACTAAAAAATGGTTCAATTACCAACAAGCACCTGAGGCAAACACTATACACAGGCTAAAACATCATGATCCATATAAATTTACTAGTTTACTAGTCCTGTATTTTGTGTGATGTGATGACAGAAGCTGATGGACATGTTGGTAAATAGTGTCTTTTTACACAGCAAACCCTACTTAGTGATGTGTGTCTTTTAAACAAACATACACAATTTAATTGAAAAGTAGATTTATTTTAAACTGGGCCAAAGCTTTACCAAAAATTAATTGCATTTAATTTATTATTCTTAATAAGCTGCACTATAAACATGTGTCATAAAGTTCTTAAAAAAGATTTCAGTGAATGCAAAAGTCTGTAGAAGATTTTTTCGATCTATAGACAATAGTCTTAATAGACATTTTACCTCCATTTTCCTAATGAGATATGTTTTTCAAAAGTTTAGGTAAAAGATGTGATAAAATAAACATGAAATATTATTTAAATACAACATGACAACTGTTATAGATTAGATTGGTATAAAAAGATAAAAGTAGTTGAGTCTTTCTACCTGGAGTCACGTTAGTAATATATTTGTAACCTGGTTAGAGACGGGAGATAAACTGCCTTTCAAGTGCCATTCTTTTATATCTCCTTTTATGATTCAAGTCTACCATTGAAGTTAGCAGAGATGAGTTGCAGAGAATGAATGCTCCACTGCCTACTCGAGATGACCTTATTAAAGGCATCAGATGCCAAGAACTAGATGTTCTTGTTATTGGTGGTGGAGCCACTGGCTTAGGTGTTGCTTTGGATTCTGCAACACGAGGTAAGACATTTATATACATTGTTCTCATCACAAGTAATAACTGTCATATTTGTGCTACTGTTCGGTAACAACTAAGACTTGATACATCAGCCACCTGTAACGCAAGACCATCACAGATTGTAGAAAAATAATAAAATAATAATTTATCTTGTTATAACATTCCTATAAAAAAAAAAGGTTAAATACAGATTAGTGTGAAAATTATTCAACAAATCTGAGCAATTCACTTCAACTGATTTTGGACCATAAGGGACATGGGAGGGATTATATTTTTGTTAATTGTTGATTTATGTTATGCTAAATCATCTCCAACAGGATTAAAAACTGGATTAGTGGAGAAGTTTGACTTTTCCTCTGGGACCAGCAGCCGAAGTACTAAACTCATTCATGGTGGTGTTAGATATTTGCAAAAGGCAGTTTTTAGTTTAGATACTGAACAGGTAAATAAATACTTTTCCATTCCCAAATAAACTGAGTCAAATTTCTTTTTGAACGCACTATACTATATAGTAAAACAAAATAATGCATTAAAAAAGAACTTTGACGCAAAATTTTAACGTGTGAACTGAAAAAAAGATTCGACCAAATTTCCGTTCGATCAAATTTCCTTCGACCAAATTTCTTTCAAACAAATTTCCGGCTACGGATTCAACAATATTAAGTGTAATAATTTTTGTTTTGCATCTTCTTTTTCTTTATATTTTTTATAAATAAATATGTCTATGCCAGATAGGATGATTTAAAATTTAAGAATGTTCCTTCCTCTTTAGTATAAAATGGTAAAGGAAGCCCTGGCTGAACGTGCAAACCTGCTGGAGATAGCTCCTCACTTGGCCTACCCACTGCCTATAATGTTGCCAGTCTACAAGTGAGTTCATCACAATAATTGTGGTTAGTGTAATATAAAGATGTCCTAATTTACTTATAACACTTATTTTCATTCCCATGTCTTAGATATCTTACCATTCAGTTTTGCTCAGATGGATTGAGCAGTTTAAATAAACTTGGCTTGAGACACCCACTTGTCATTTTAAATAGGGAAACAAATCAATTATTTAAGAATTTAAATAAAACTACTTTCACTACAATATACTTGGTGTACTAATGATTTTTTTGTAGCAATAGTTATACATTTTTGTTTGTTTCAGGTGGTGGCAGGTCCCTTATTATTGGGCCGGTGTGAAGGCTTATGACTTTGTAGCTGGTAGCCAGATCTTGAAGCCGAGTTACCTTTTGTCAAAGTCAAAAGCCCTTGAGCAGTTTCCTATGTTGAAAAAAGATGAGCTGAAGGCTGCCCTCGTATATTATGATGGTATGATGTTGTCTCCAACTTAAGTGGCGCTCAAAGCAGTACGCCATAGATCGTTTTTATGCTTTAACAGTTACATTAAAGATGATTTGATTATAAATGGCATTTGTGGTGGATTAAAGAGTTGGTTTTCAAAGAAGTTATTCATTAAATATACTTGTAACTAAAAAAGAAAACTATTAAGTATCTATAGAGAAGTTTATTATAATTATATCTTTTAATTAGAGATGCATTTAATTTATACATTTTAAAATATTCAACTGTAATGAATTTAATTTTAATACAAGCATAACAAATTGTATCGAGTCTCAAGACTTATTTTGGTTTAAAATTTAACAAAAACTAAGATTTTTATGTTTAAAAGGGTGATTTTAGATCTAACAAGGTTTTTAAAACACCCTTAATATATTTTGTTGTTCCTGAATCTAAAATATTCTGTATTATACTTTGTTTTCCTTTTAAGTCAACTTGATTGGCTTTGTGCCAATTTAACAAGTATGATATTATTAGAATACATTATTTGTCATCAATGGTGGGGGTTGCCTAGAATGTGAATTAGCAACCAAAACATGTCTTTAAAATTGGTGTAATGTTTTGAATTTACACTGTTTTCTTAATTTTGAGCTTAAAAGTAAAGTAAAGATGCCCTCCTGTCTCACACTTAGGTCAGCATGATGATGCCCGAATGGCTGTGTCAATGGCCATCACTGCAGTCCGACATGGAGCTTACTGTCTGAACTACACAAAATGTGAGAGCTTGATCACTTCCTGTGTCGATGGAGAGGAGCGTGTAACTGGTGCTAGGGTCAGAAATACTCTTACTGGTAAGTCTAAAAAAAAAATTTAAAAGAGTAGCCTTTTAGAGTTCATGTATCATTAAGTGTATTAAAGGTATGTTTAGGAGTCACTGAAAAATTTTTAGGAGGCACTGTGAAAGATGTTTAGGAGTCACTATGAAGGATGTTTAGGAGGCCCTGTGAAGGTTCATCTTTTTATGTTAATACTAAGTTTGATTGTAATCTTTGTTAATTATTGCATTGCTTGGAAGTTAAAGATATTTAATTTGAACCATTATTATAGATATATTATTTGACCCACTATTACTACCTAAATACTACATTAACAAAAAACATCTCTTGACTTATCCAGTCAGTAGATAGATGAATGGCACATACATAAGAAAAGCCTCCCTTATAACAGATATTTTCATGAAGCTTTGTGGTATTTTGTGCTCTTAACCCTTTACAGTCCGATGCGCCCGAAATGCGCCGATTTTTTACTTAAGCGTACAGTCCGATGCGGCCAAACCCGCCCGTTTCGAGGTTGTTTTCTTTCGTTCTTAGCACAGCGGAAGTCCATTGCGCATTACTATTTATAGTTCTACCGGAAGAAAGCCTCGTTGTCGGCATTTATTTCGATACTAGTTTGACCGCGGTGTGTTTAGGGGCTGATTTTCTATGATTAGCACAGCGGAAGTCCATTGCGCATTACTATTTATAGTTCTACCGGAAGAAAGCCTCGTTGTCGGCATTTATTTCGATACTAGTTTGACCGCGGTGTGTTTAGGGGCTGATTTTCTATGATTTTTTTTAAAAGTCGCGATTTTTTCGCTGTAAAAAATGGCTATCTAAGCTTTGGATACACATTTGAAAGAACTTAGGCCTAATGAAGCTTCACTATTTCATGAGTGGGAGGGTCTCTGAAACTATTTTTAGGTTTAACTTTTGCTTTAATCATTTCTTTGTATTTAGGTATTTTTTATTTTATTTTGTTGCTTCTAGTTTATTTTCTGAAAATTAATTAGATAAAGAACCTTCATTTAAAATGGAGTTATGTCCCTTTGCTTGGGCGCTGGGAGTAGACAAGGCTGAATAGGTTGGACTGTAAAGGGTTAAAAATTCTCAGATGTATAGTAAAAGTTGTAGCAATTATCCCGAGAATGCCATAGTAGCTAATAAAATAGACACAGCTTTTTTTTTTTATAACTAAATTTTATTGGTGCGTTTTATTTCTAAACTGCAAAAACATTGTTTTGTTCCTCAGGTGAAGAGTACTGCATCAATGCCAAATGTGTGATCAATGCCACAGGGCCTTACACAGACTCTATACGTAAGATGGCAACCAAAAGAATCCCCAAAATCTGCCAGCCCAGTTCTGGTGTCCATATAGTTCTACCCGACTATTACAGCCCAGGGAGTATGGGCCTGTTGGATCCATCTACATCAGATGGTCGGGTTATTTTCTTCCTCCCATGGCAGAATGTAACTCTGGCAGGTATGCAACTTTAAAAAAAATGTATTCCTTACTTCTAAGGCTAAACAGCAAAAAAACAACATTTGATTTGTATAAACATGTTTAAATAGCTTTTTTTTGCATCCTGAAAGTTGATTAAGTGTGTGGAATGCTTTAAAAAACCAAATGAATATATTAAATAACTTCAAAGTAAAAGGTTAATCATTTTTTTACAATAAAATTATGTTTCATAATTTAACAATGGAAATTACAATTTAAAAAAAACAAATGATGCTTTATTTCCCATTTTTAAATATCAAAGAATTCAATTACAATTTTGTGTTTTGAAATAACTTGCGTGAGATCTATATGATTTGAACAGTTTAACTGAGATTATGAAAGTTTTATCATAATTTTTGTAGATATAATTCTCATTCTAAGGCCAATTATTTTGTGGACAACAGCAAGGGCTGCATGCTGGGAATTCAAGAGCTACTGTTAAATTTTTTTATAGTTTTGAACTAACAGCTGTTATTCGTCACAATCCAGGTACCACTGACAATCCCTGTGAAGTGAGTGATAACCCTCAACCTACTGAAAAAGATATCCAGTTTATCTTGTCTGAAATTAGAAACTATCTTAGCCCTGATGTGGAAGGTAAGTCACATATTACATTATGGTGCATTTGACCTGCCTATCCCAAGTCAGTGTTGAAAGCTTGATCTGAACATTTTATGACCCGCATTTAATAGTGCTTTATTGAGAACATTTCAATTAGTTTTGGACGCAAAAGAAGGTTCTTGATTCTGTAGCTTGGGTAAATTAAATCAATGATTTTGTTTCACCTCACAGTGCGCCGTGGTGATGTTCTGTCAGCATGGAGTGGAATCCGACCCCTTGTTTGTGACCCTAACAAGTCGGACACTCAATCCATCGCTAGAAATCACATCATTGAGGTGTCCCCAAACAAGCTTGTCACAATTGCAGGTATGTTTGTTATTGAACTCGTACCCCGTTTCTTGATATATTTTACTTATGCCTTCTTGTCATGGAAGGCGTTAACTGTGTTCGGTTGGCTTTTAAACATTCATTAACACACATAAATTATCTTTTTTCTTTAGGTGGGAAGTGGACGACGTATCGTTCTATGGCCGAAGAAACTGTAGACACAGCTATTGATTGTTGCGGTTTGAACCCTGTTGGTCCTTGCAGGACAAAAGGTCTCCTCTTGGATGGTGCCCATGGCTGGTCACCAACTCTATTCATCAGACTTGTCCAGGATTATGGCTTAGAGAATGCTGTAAGAATATCACACATTAATATACAAATGAATGGATTCAGTGAGATGGGTATAAATCTTGCCATAAGAGACTTATGAATGTGTACAGTAATCTACATAAAAAGTCATACCATTAAAAACAATTGATGAAGTTATACAATGAGATATTCTTAAACTCATTTTTATTTATTTAAAATTAAGGGCGTAACTTTTGTATTATTTTTTTTGTTTTACCTATTTATAACCAAAGGGAAATAGCAAGATATTTAAATAAATTTGAAAGGAATCTTGTCAAATGGTCAGAGTAATATTCAAACAAGGGTTTATTTTACATAATATATGATTAATTTTCATGTTTTGATTATTGTAAATACATTTTTGTATCATTGTAAATACATTTTTGTATCATTGTAAATACATTTTTGTATCATTGTAAATACATTTTTGTATCTTTCCAAGGTTGCTCAACATTTAGCAAGAACTTACGGTGACAAAGCCTTTAAAGTAGCATCATTGTCTAAGATGACAGGCAAAAGGTGGCCAGTCATAGGCAAGAGGATCCATGAAGAGTACCCATATATTGAAGCAGAGGTACAATGAAATAATTAACAGCACTTGTAGCAACAGTTTCTCATAAATGGCTTTAACCTTTTTTTTTAATCATCCCTGATTTATTAAAAAAATCAGCAACATATTTTAATTTTGTCAACTCACTAATTAATTAACTCATTTCCGACGTTTGGGACTAAATGCGTTCTTTACAGGTTTCGCCGGATGCGTCCAAATGCGTCCCGGCGCATAGCGACACATCTCTCTCATATCTATTTAAAAATAGCAATGAAATCTCGCATCCCACAAGACTTCCGGTGATGGCGTGGTTCAGCGTGATTTTAATTTAAAAACCGGAAGTTTTTATCTTGTTTCACTTTAAAACTACGTGTGCTTTAGTACGGCGCGTCTATATGTAGCATGTGTTCGTCCGAGGTGCCGAAAATCAATTTTTTGGCCATTGTTCGTTATTTTTTCCCGGCTAATGTTATATTTATATTAAACCTTATTCATTCTTTAATGCATTGGTTCTTAATTCGTTAACATTAAATAACTAGCAGCTTAAATAAATATTTTACAAATGTAAATCAATTGCAAGACGGAGTTACTTCCCTTTCTCAGGCAAATAAATTAAATACGGAAGTAGCATTGCAGGAGGGAATGAGTTAATAAGTTTAACATAAACAGCATATGAGCAAATCTTGCTTCTAAAAAAAAAATCATGATTCAATTTAACTCTTTGGCTCCGGAATTATTTTCCTTATTCTGATGGAATTATCTATTTTGCATATTTGTTATTCACAACTATGTTATCTCTAAACCATCATAACTTTTTTGTTTTTATCAGAAAATTTTAAGGTTTGGTATGGAATTAAAGGGGAATGCATGCTCTTTACAGACAATACAGACTTTGGTTTAAATTTTAATATATAAATGTGATTTTCATTTAAGGAAAAAAATTCACCAATTGATCGCAAAACACTCATTCCAAGTCACACAAAGAGAAATTTGTAATCCAAAGTGTAAAAAAAATGTTCCTTTTCTGAACTATATCCATATCTGCATCACAAATAATAAAAATCACATTTACAATAAAAATTTTAAAAAAAGGAAAATTTCCAGAGCACCATTATTCATTGTCAGAGCCACACAAAAAATGTCAGGAAACCTAACTATTTTCATTGGAATAAATTTGTTGCTACTAGAAAATATTTGCACTATATACTTGTATGTATTAACATTTATTATGGTAAATTGAAAAGTTACCATAAATTTGTCATATCTTTTCATCTGTGTTTTCACTATGGTAATCCTTAAAACAATCCATTTTGATGTGCGGATTTGACTCACATGCAACAACAACATGTACAGTTTGCCTTGTTCTACAGTGTTCGCACACACTGTCCTTTTTGCTCTGATAAGTCTCAATGGCACAGGGACGTCCACGGCCTGGTCTGAAACTTCTGAAGTTTTCCCCCAATGTAATGATGGCAGCAGCATATTCTATTAATCTGTCCACAAGTTGCAGCTTGAAATTTCTGAGGATTATTTTTCTAACTTTTCTCTGATCTTCTGGCCTTGTGGGTTTCTAAAAGGCTGAATTTTACACTTATTTTCTGGAACATGTAGAAAAAAATTATACAAGGCTTCCATTTGCTCTCTCTGACACATTTGACATACCAGGATGTATACATCCCGTTGACCAAAAGTAACGAAAAATGGAAGAGAGTTCATCCACAGTGTTGTTGTTACTGCTAGAAATTTCTAGGTCTCAAGATGGTTGACAGGTTTACAGTCGCTAAAAATGTATCTCTTGATCTTTGACTGTTGATTTTAATTTCTGTAGGAATCATACAAATTTTTTTGAGAGTAAAAGCTTGTAAAAGTAAAAGTTAAAAAAAACAGTCAAGTTCATTTGAGTTACTAGTCACAAGCTCCAAATTTACAACTACATTTAATAAGGTAAATATTTGAATTTGCACTCAGTTTTAGTGCCAAGATCAGCAGTTTTCCAATACATTATTTTGTTCAGAAACAGTATTAGCTCTTTTACAAAGCACTTTAGCTTGGGCCTGGTAGTTTATCAGCTGATGAATTATGAATTTCATTAATATTATTACTTCAGAAGTTTTCGTCACTATTGCTACTACTACTACCACCACCACTACTACTACTGGGCTTATATGATTCATCAGAATCAGCCTCTGCATCCGAAATCATAACATTACCATCTGAATTGTCATCAGGGTAATATTTTCTACCTTAATTAGATCGATCGCCAGATGGGTCAGGTCACTGTAAACAGAAATAAATTAGATAATAAAAATAACCCTTTAAACACTTCATTCTCCATAAAAACTAAAGAAAATCTGGATGTTTATCAAAAGGAAAGCATTCTAAATTTGATTAAAAGTAATTTAAAACAAGTAGCTAAGAAAATAAATAAAACTAAGTGGCATCGTCGATCCGACACAAACTTCATTTAAAATCGACGATGGGGAGCATTGATCCGGAGAAAAGGAGAAAGTTATTGTTTTTTCATGAAACTTTTTAAATGTTTGTTTTTTTTACTAGGTGAAATATGCAGTGCGTGAATATGCGTGCCGTGCCATTGATGTTGTTGCTCGCCGCACCCGCCTGTCTTTCATAAATGTGCATGCGGCTCAGGAAGCCCTCCCAAAGATCATTGAGATTATGGCAGAGGAACTCAAATGGGATGAAAAGACTAAAAAGGTTGGTTTAAGAAGCTGGGTTGGTTGTAAGGAGTAAAGAAAGTCCTTGACTGAACACAGTCAAGTCATTGTCAGGTTTTACTTGCATGCTGAAAATATTCCCTGATCCAAATGTCTAATCCATGTACTAAGTACTAAGAAACTAATTTTCTGAAGGTTTGCTTACTCTTGAGATAAATTGTTTGCACAAGAAAATAGTTAAGCAGTGTTTTGTGTTTAGTTAGGAGTATATGCTCAATCTATATCGGTATTGAGCTAAGTAATAATAAGAATTATTTTAATGTAATAATCTAGTTGTTAAATATCTATAAAGAATCTAGAGTGTTTCAGAAACTCTAGTTAGATTTATAGATATTATGTCATAATTTGATTTCAAATGATTATTGGTTTTGAAAAAAATTATCTGTTGTTGGTTTTACAAAGCAAAGTTTAGCATTTAAACTGAAAACTACTAAAATCCATGAATTTTAAAATTATTTAATAAACATAAGCAATTGAATGGAGAGTGGCTTCCCCAATGTGAAAGTTTGTAGTCGCCTAGTGTGCAAATTAACATGGACATGCATAAAAAGTTGTAGCGCCTATCCTGATAAAAATGGACAATTTTTGATAATTTGTTTAAAGGTTCGAGAAATAAGAGTCCTATTTTCAAACACAAGACTCACCCTGTACTTTGACTGGCTTTGTGTGACCCTTAAAGTAATTATTGGAGTACCTACCTACTATGACAGCCTTGGCTAAAAAATATCTTTTTAAAATCTGATTTTTGAAGAAGAAAAAAATATAAAAAATTTTAAAACTTTATAAATATTCAAAATCAGATTTAGCTATTTTGAAATAGCAAATGTCTGCATTTATTCTTTAGTATTTATTAAATCACTGCTTTCTTTTAGCCCTGTTTTTTCAAATGTATTACTATTTCGTCATTGTTAAAATCTCACTACCAGCGTATGCCTCGCTAATACAAACCACCAAAAATTTACGAATTGCAGAGTAGGTGTTTTTAGTTAATGAATTATATCTCAATAAACAGTGCCAACAGTTAGAAGTGGAAGCATTTTTGTGTAGGGATATGGGCAAAGCCATCTTGAATACCTACCGATGTCCAACTTGCCCCGGCCTTTCCTGTGATGATGATAGCCCTGACCCTTGTAAGACTTGCAGTCCCAAACCTAGAGGATGCCCCTTTAAAAAATGTGCTGAAAAATCAGAATCAGACCCGTGTGATCCATGTCGCTCGGATCAGTCAGAGTCTCCGAAACCTTGCAAGCTGCCATTTATTAAAAAATAAGGGTAAAAGTTTTGAGTTCAGCGGTTTTCTCTTATTTCAGTGAGAAGTTTTGTTGGTTTATTTGGTCGGTTTATTATTTGATTTTTCATTAATTCATTGGTTGTGTAGTATTTATTCAACAAATTTTGATTCCCATACCAGTACCTCCTGATGGTGTAAGAAAAATTTCAGAATTAGAAGCTAATGAAGAAAAAAATCTAATTTGTTAAATAGCCACATAATATTGCTGTTTCATAGATGGTTGTTAAGGTTGATCCCATGCTTATCTCCCCTTTGCCATTTAACTTCAATTTAAAACTATGAATTTTAATCATTTGTAATCTAAGAAATGAAGTCAACTTTATGATGTAATTTAAGGATACCTATTTTTTTCTTAAATTTCTCAATAAACCTAATTATTTTTAAAAGCAATATTTGTTATGTGAACATTGATATTCTATACAGATTATTATGTCACTTTTTGACTTTGACTATCTACATAACATAAACAATTTACTTCTGAATGCATCAACACTTTATATTGTGATTATTTCTGGAAATCAGTATGGAATAATTTAATGGCATAATTTTGTATAGCTTACTTACTGAAAGACTGTTACTATTTCAAATTATAAGCTGTATAAATGTTACTTTTTGCAGCGTGCAATGAAGTAGTAATTTCCTTTAATGTTGTTCGTCCCAATGTGAACACCAAACACCAGCAATTTAATCTAGATTTGTTTAGTTTTCTTAATATTCTTTGGTCCAGCAACTTATTAGTGTGATAATTCGTTGTATTTTATTTGACTATTCCTACATCCAGAGTGAACTGGAACATGCCGAGCGCTATCTTAGGACAGAGATGGGCTTGGATATCAAGAGAGCAACGGAGAAAGATGTCCCATTAAACTTTACCAAAGATGAGATTAACCATTATGTGCGGAGGTTCAAGTCATTGGATGTAGAGAATAAGGGTTATATTTCTATTAATGATCTCAGGAGATATTTCAAGGTAAATTTTCAAACATTTTATTTTTAGTTTAAGCTTTTGCAATCAATGTTAGATTGCTATTTTGTTTTAAATTAAACAGTTTGGGTTGTATTTTTTCAATAATGTAGACTTGGTAATCTTTTTTTAAAGAGTCAGTTTATTGTTTTACCTAGAAGTTTTTTTGTTTTTTCCAAACTGGTATTATTTATGATTCATGATGTACACTCATAAGAAATAAGAAATACTAAGGCTTTCCTGCACATATATTTTTAATTAGCAAAGGGACACAAAACCTAATGTGACAATACTGAATGTTTTATCTTTTAATGGAAACCCTGTCTGCTAGAGTTTGCTAATGAATTTGCTGCAATTTAGCTTCAATTTACAAGTATTTCTGTTTTGATTGTCTTGCTAACTGTAAAATATCTTTACAGAACATAGGGGAAAAAATTCCAGAGGACCAGTTGCATGAAATTCTCAGTGAAGTTGACCTGAACAGAAATGCACAAGTTGATATTGGAGAATTCCTTCAGGTGAGACAATGTCATTTATTAATCTTTATTCTAGAAAAAAAATTTTTTTTTAAAGTCTTATGCAAATGGTTTGAGTTGGTTGATTTCAAAACAGTGTGAATGGGAAACAAGACAGTTTCTCTTATTTCTCCCTCTGCTGTTACAGGTATTCTTTTTTTAAAAGTATAGTTTTGTAAGATAATCGTTCATTATTTAGTTTTTCAATTGGGTGTCAATCGTTCATTATTTAGTTTTTCAATTGGGTGTCGTTGGGGAGGGGGAGGTGTAGAATTAGTGAAAACTAAAATGAATGTGTATAAACTCAACCCAGAGAATCTAAAAAAATAACTACTTAAAAAGGATTGTCCCCAATATTAATAACTCTAATATAAGCCAAAGTCATTAAGCTTACATCCATTTTTAAATTTCTTTTAAAAGGTTAAAAATGATGCATCAATTTTTTCATATGATTTATTTGAAGTAATCGGTTTTCATATTATTTTAATATTTTTTGTTTGGTTCTTTCAAAACACTGGCGACTGCTTAACTAAAAAATTCATATTTTGTTCATTTCTCGTAATATTTACTGCAAGTTGGGGATACCTGGTAATTCCAATCCTCAAAAAGTCTAGATTTTTTCCTAAAAGGTCTAGACTTTTTCCTTATAAATGTTTGAAAATACCTTGCCAATTAAAGGAGTTTCTATGGCTGCTGGCATTTTGTTACCTTTAAGAAAAATTAAGTTAGATCCCCATGTGCTTTTGAGTCTTGAAAGATTGGCTCTCAAATTTCTGAGCTGTATTTTTAGTATTGCCCACATGTCAGTGGTAGTGTCAAATTGGATCCACTGCAGCCTTAATAGCATGTTAGATTTTTGTGTGGAAAATATTGACAACATTTTTACATTGATTCACATTGTACATCTTATAATCTTATGAGAATTGTTGGTTAAAAATTAATTTAAACCAATAAAATGTTATTTATTCTTTGCTTAGTTGCAGTTGTTCCCAACTGTTTAGCAAAGGCAGATTTTTTTTGTTTTTTTTTTTGTTTTTGTTTTTTTTTTTTTTTTTTTTATTTTTAAAAATTTATTTTTTTAAAAAAATAAAAAAAAATTTTTTTTAATTTTTTTTTGGTGTTTTTTGTAATTTTTTTTTTTTAATTTTTTTTTTTTTTTTTTTTTTTTTTTTTTTTTTTTTTTTTTTTTTTTTTTTTTAAACTTCAAAAATGTCAATTTTGAAAGAAATAAAAAAAACTGCTTGTTACATCTTATTTGGAGCATTTTGTAAGTCTTGTTTTATAATATTGTTCGGCTAAAAATGAAATTTCAGACAGCTGCTAAAGTGATGGAAATGAATAAACAAGCAAGTAGATGAATTGTATTTGGCTTTAATATCCAGAGGTTAACTAATAATAAGTGCTGTCCAGAGGTTTAGAATAGATACGTATTCAGGGGTTGTGGATGAGTGTGCAAATGTTACCCTCTGGGCAGAAGTGACTAATATTAACCATTGGTTTCTTTCCATGCTGACCAAAATAAAACATTAGCTTAATATAGATATGAATTTATTCTATAAATAATCTAGTGAACATTTCTCCACTTTACACATAGATGATCTTGGCTTGGATTTCAATTTATCCCAAATGTTTTTTTTTTAAATAGGATATTATAAGGAATTATAACTTAATAGTAGTTTTTATATATCTGTTGTTTTTTTTTACACTATCAAAGTGCTTTTGAAATCTTTTAACCCTTCCATATTGTATTTTATTCAATGAGTTTAGTGGCAAGTGTTTTTCTGCAAACAGATCTGTTTGCATTTATAGCCTTTCTGTGTAAATAACAATGAAGTCTATAGTGTCTGCAGACAATCCCTAAGTCACTTGTTCCCTGTTAATAACAGCCTAAAAACAGACACATGCTGTAGGCTCCCCCTTGACCAGACTCAATATTTTTGCTCTCTTACTTTATTACTGGTGAAAGATGCAGTGACTATGAAGTAGAAATGTAAATTAATTTCTTATGGGAGCATTAATATAATATTTTTTTATCTACACTCACATTTATTTTGGGCTCAAATTTACTATGAATTTTTTCTTCCCTGTCTTACATGAATTGGACACCCTTGATACAGGACAATATAATCGCTAACAACTTTGAATGGGGCTTTTCTGATTAGATGTCATCTGTTGTTAACTGAAAGAAACATAATCATTGTCTAACTTCTTTGAAATGTGTGATGTGCTGACTGCAGTAAAAAAAAAGCTTTATGCCCAATTATGTGTTTTCAAATTGTGGGTCAATCTATTAGTAATTAGTGACTTAGTTATTTCTTTTACAATGTTATTAGGTTGTTTTTGAGATGGGGGGTGTTCATGGATTTTTTTTAGCAATTTAAATATATTTTTTTTTAGTATTAGTTTATCCATAGTTAAAATCTAGTGTGTTGGGTACCAGCGTAATCTAGTTTGTAATTATGTTGTTGACTTGGTATAACCTATATGAGATGTGTCATTAGTGCCATTATCCAGTGGTTGTCTCGTCAATGGATATGGTTCGACTCCTTAACATTCATTTTTTTTCTAATTTGTGAAGTGACCTTAGTTAGAGATGGCCCCCTACAGTGATAGGGGTGTTAATTCATCTATATATGGCTGGAGTTGGGAACCACTGTAAGATTTATCAAAAGAGCTTATGTTTATGTCATTTTTCATTATCTTTTGAAATCTTGCAAGACACTCTTGTAGTCATGGTTAAATTATTTCTTCAGTTTTATTACAAAATATATTTTATCTTGAAATACTCTTGGGTCATTTTAATGTTAAAGTTGTATAATATTGTTCCTGTGTACCTGAATCTCTTATCTGTGTACCTGAACTCTTTCCTGTGTACCTGAATCCCTTTCCTGTGTACCCGAATCCCTTTCCTGTGTACCCGAATCTCTTTCCTGTATACCTGAATCTCTTATTGTGTACCCGAATCTCTTTCCTGTCTATCTGATTTCTCACTGATTATTTTATCTCCCACAGCTGATGAGTGCCATAGAGCATGGGACAGTGGTCAACTCCAGATTTGCTAAGGCCTTGGAAGACAATGAGGAAAACACAAAAAAGATTTCCGTTGAAAGAAGTGGAGGTGGTGTTTAGCTGTTTTGACTTTTTCAAAGACGAAAAAATTTGCCCTGATTAGTTAGAAGTTATTTTTTCCAAACAAGTGGTGGAGAAGCAGCTCTGTACAGTACTCTCCCTATGAAAGAGAAGACTATTTATTTGGTTGATCCACCATTGTCTAGTGGCGTGAGCCTGTTATGACAGAGTTTTCAAGCATTCTGTGTTGACAGTTGTAAAGGGGATGGTTCACTCAGACGGCCTGAAACAGCAACATTTCTAATGGATTTTTTTAAAATGCTTTTTTTAAGGGTTACTATCATCTAGACACACTTTATAAGAATCTTTATTCTCTACAACAACCAATATTTTATTGATATCAATGTTGAACAGATATTTAAGAACCTTTATCTGTAGATACCCTGGACATAATGGTTAATTTTCATCAATGAAAAATTCATTTCCTAGTTAATGTTCTCATCCATTTTATTGACTCCTAAAGTTCATGATATATTTATTTTTCATATGATTAAGAACATTCTACTGAGAATCAAATGATTGCATTATGTTTTGCGCTAGGTCAACAAATGCACTCCAGATCATTAGTAATTACATCTAAGTACAAATAGGAAAAAGTTTTATGAGAAGGAAAAAAATAATTCTAATCTAACATAAAAAAAATGTTTGTATCTGAAGATGAAAAAAAAAAAATTAAATAATGGATTCACCCGAGTTTTGTATATTTAAGTTTCAGATAATGTATATACAAGGGTCTTTGCAGAGTCACATCACACTTAACCATTGTCTGGGTGTGGCTTGTATCAATTATGGCTTGGTTCACTCAAGCACATTCCTGAAAAGTTGCTCTTTATGTAGTCATAAAAGCTCATTACACAAAATACAAAAATGACCCAGCAGCTAACATCTCAAGATTTAGTGCAACTTCATGTTGATAGCTCATCTATAAGCATATGCCAATATGAAGCTTACACGTATTGAGTAGCGGCTTCTTGCTGAAACACCACAGTGCTAAGTGCACGTTGTTAGGTTGAGGAATGTTTACAAAGTTTTCAAACACACCACGGGTTTTTGTTGATTACTCTGTATTGCGAGGCTGGGCATTCTACTGAAATTTATATAAAATTGCACCATATTTTTTCTCTGCTTGAAAAGGATATATAAGAAAAATGTGGAATAGTTGCTTCTCCTGATACTATGGATACGATCTCAAATTATATGCATGATAAACGTAACTGGGGATATCTTGAATGCAAATCAAAATTTCAGAAATCTTACACTTGATTTAATATACTATTTATGTTTGAGACATACTTGAAAAAATACTTGTACAGCTGACTACATTTTTTAATAGTATTTACATGTTTAAATAATATAATCTATTTCTCTTGCTTGACTACACAAACTGCCATATTTAAGTATATCATTAGAGACACTAGAATGTGTGTATTAGCTTTGTTGTTTTGTTTTAGCCTCTTTTGTTATGATAGTTAGTGAGCAGACTTACTCTGTATAAATATTTTCTTATGATTTTTTTTTATTTCTTTCTCTCATTTTCTCCTTCCCTTCTTTTTTACTTCTTTTGATAACTTTGGGCATGAACGGAATTATATTTAGTGTAGCCTCTCCCGCTCCACTTCTGATCTTGTAGAATGTACACTTGACATCCTAAATATAAAGTGTTTCAGTGTGGTTAACTTATCGGGTCCCTAGTACCGCGGTGCTTGGCTTTACTATAGTCTATACAATCAGCTCATTCCTCGCACAAATTATAAAAATATATGTATAAACACCTTGGAAAATTTTGGTGTATTTCATTTGGAGCAGTAGTTATGGCATGTGGCATCCCTATGTGTAATTACATCATTTTTCTATTTTATATATTTATAATATGCAACTAATGTATCAAATTGTGGTGAATTTAGATAAAGAGATGTGATCATGTCATAAAGTTTTGGGCCAGTTATGGCTAATAATAGTAATAATAAAAAAAGGAAACTTGACAAAATGGAAGATTTTATTGAGATTATTTCCTACTTGAAACTTTTTAATTATTATTTTTGTTATGTTTGACTTGACCAGATTGAAATTTGATGTTTTCTTTATATTCAGTTTTACTTTGACATTTGATAATATTTCTACATGTTATTGTTAAATTTTTTGACTCATATTTGCTGTACTCAATGTTTGGTCTGATAGACATAAACCGAAATAGAGGGGCCAATAGAAACACTGATTTGACCTACCAGTATCAGAACACTGATTGAAAGTTTAGCATCTTGTATAGACAAAAATGTCCCATTCCCTACTGCTAATATGTTAGATTTTTATTGCAAGAACCATGAGAGGGGCCAATAGAAACAAAGTATATATATTTTCTAAAATTGAGGGTCACTTTGCTTAGCTTACGGGTGCTGTCTTATAATATACTTTGTATCTTATCTTGTTTGTACATTTTCTTAGTAGAGCAAGATGAGGTGTTTGGTCACTGTATACTGTATAAGAAAAGTTATAGTGTAGCTCAGTAAGAGTTAGTTATACCTAGGGTTGCCATATCGGGACTGTCACCGTTATGGACCTTACAAGTAATTATATTAAATAATTTTTTTACTTCTTTTCTACACCCCGATCTCAGAGTGTGGTGACCAGAAGTTGTAGGGTTAAAATTGTATTTTAGTATACTTTTTGATTAGTTAGAAACATTTTTTTAATATATATATTTATTTTGTGGTCAAATTTCATACCTGTCAACCTTTTGAGTTCTCATCTCACTGGCCATATTTTTACTAATTCCTACCTACTTTGGTTAATATTGTGCTTTTTTTTTTTTCTTCAGTTTTTTTTTTTTTAGAAGTTTTGGGTTGGTTCTGTTAAATAAAAAAAAAAATTTCTGTTTGAATATCGGTACTTACCTTTAAATGGTAGCAGTAGTAACAATTTGTTAAAAAATAGAAAAAGAATGCTCTAGAACAAGGATCATAAAGACACTTGCTGTTTGCCAATTTATGAAGTTTGCACAGACAAAAAATTGTATTGCATGAAGCTGACGTGTATGGTAATTTGAGTGCGTCCTATAGATAGATTCCAACTCTCTAGATTATTGGAGAAGAAATATGTAGCCTGTAAGTTGCTGTCCTAATTTTGCAAAGACAACAGTCATCCAGAATTGTTTAGACAGTCTAGCCAACTAGTGGGTAGACATCCACTGTTATGATCACAAGTTATAAACAGTCTGGCCAAATAGTGGGAAGACATCCACTGTTAGTGATCACAAGTTATAAATGACATACCTATATGTGTGATCTGTACACACAATGATGGAAATTTTAGACCAATCTTCACTGAAAACATTTTAAGTTGAATCTATGGGTTCCCAAGTTTTTGGCAGCTCAACGCGCCCCCCCCCCCCCCCCCCCCATCAGACAACCACCCGTAACCGTAAAAAGTGGTTTCTGTTGTTTGCGTTAAAAACATTCAATTAAAGGCATGGTGTGAAGATTTAGAGACATTAAATGCACATAATGGATTTGAAACTAACAATGAANCCCACCTTCCTGCCCTTAAAGCCCCACCTTCCTGCCCTTAAAGCCCCACCTTCCTGCCCTTAAAGCCCCACCTTCCTGCCCTTAAAGCCCCACCTTCCTGCCCTTAAAGCCCCACCTTCCTGCCCTTAAAGCCCCACCTTCCCATCCTTAAAACACATTCTCCCCCCCGCCTTCCTGCCCAGTCCCGCCTTCCCACTTTTAAAAATACCCCACCTTCCCGCCCTCAGTACCCAACCCCTTTAGTCCTTTACTGATGTTGTAAAACTGGAGGATATGTGATCTCAGAAATATTCCCCACCGCCCAGCGACCTCTCATTGTCTTTTTCTACAGTTTTTCTGTATCAAACTTCTGATTAAACTTTAAGCTAGATTTATTAATGTTGTGCCTTTGATGATTGTACTTTTAGAGTAGACTAGAAAATATCAAATTATCAATTATTAATAAATTGATTTACTGCAATATTTCATAATGTTTTAGTCTCTACATTATGCTTAGAGATGGGTTTCGGTGCTTCGTTGAATGTATAGTACTGTAAAGGGATAGAAATTTATAGTAGAATTTAGCGGTTGTCATTTTTTGACACTGCTTGTCATATGTTGCATTTTGATATAAATGAAGAGGCGGTTTTACCCAAAATGGTCGTAATGTAAATTATATTATACTAATCTTATTTGACAATAATTTCTTTGGGAGTTTGTCTTCACCTTAACACAGCCTGCATAATTCTTTAAAAAATGGGCTGTTGCTGAACTTGAGGTATTGTGAGAGGGGAAGGTTCATCACGTGATGGTATTAATGGTGGGGAATAAAGATGTGCAGTTTACTAACTTAAAAGTTTTACCAAAATCCTTTTACTTTTCCCTCCAATACATGTATTTTATATACTAAAGTGCCATCTGATGTCCTCAGTTGTTGAGTACCATTAATTTTATACATCACATGTGCAAGCAGTGTCGGATTTCTAACGGGTTTTAAATCATCAATAATGAAGTGAGACCGTTAACATTTTTTTTTTGTCCCAAAAATGGAATTTCTCAATTGTTTGCTTTCTCATTCTACCGCCCTCCTTCCCTTTCTATCTTGCTCTCTTCCCTCCCACCAATACTCTATTTTTTAAAATTTTTGCTGCAAAACAACGGTTCTCAACCTGTGGGGTCGCGATCTCTTTGTGGGTCGAACGACCGTTACACTGGGGTCGCCGAACACCACCGGAAAACGCATATTTATGAAGTAGCAACGAAAATAATTTTATGATGGGGGGGGGGGGGGGGGGGACCAGAACATGAGGAACTGTATTAAATAAAGGGTCTTGGCATTAGGCAGGCTGAGAACCACTGCCCTCCAGTGTTATGAGTCTTGCTGACCTGCTCTACGATGGATCGAGTTAGCGCTTTGCTCCAAAATGTAACACTTCTATTGTTCTATTTATCTCAACAAAAATTACACCTGTTACCGGTATACTAATTAAAATGTGTGTGTCCCAGGTGGATGAGATGTTATTACGAGAGAACTTCCACTTAGGTGTGATATTCCATTGTTGTTGAGCGTATTGTTCGTGTGTGTTTGATTGTATGACATTAATGCCATGAAGAAAAGGTTTTCTAATAAATAAATTATATTCTCTGTATTATTTGTCGCCTTGTTTGTATAGAGTAGCCTGATTAGGTATAGATCAGTTGCCTAGGAAAAAAAAACTTTTTTCCCTTAAATTTGGGGGGGGGGGTGGGGGGGGGGGGGGGGATCCGGTCCACGCCTAGCAATAACTTTTTCTTAATTATATATTGAGGGCTGCATTGTCAGCCAACTGCAGAGATTTCTTCTTTGTTGAAGGGTGCTTCTAAAGCAGTGGTTCACAAAATTTTAAGTTTGGCGGACCGGTGTACAAGTTTCGAAATTTTACCAGGGATCGGTGCATGATTTATTTTTATACTTCTTTTTTCTATTTGAAAATAAATATTTATGTTATGGGGACCGCCAGCGTTAGGCATGCGGACCGGTGAAGGTCCACTGACCGCATTTGGGGACCACTGGTCTAAAGTACTGGCCCGCCCCTAGTACTGATATGTCCAAGAAAAAAGTACATTTGACTTATTGCCTGCATTGCGCTGGCAGAAGTTGTAGTAATTTTGCGTGTGTGCGGAGTGTGCACACAGCCCGTCAAATAGTAGAGCGATTACTAGTGTGAATGTTAACGCGCTTTTCTTTTTTTTTTTTTTTTAAAAGTGAGTGAAAGTGATGCGTATTTGGTTTTAGTTTTATCAACCATTTCTTAATTAAATTTTTATATTGAGAAAATATAATAAATTTACAATTTTACTGACCCTATTAATTAGCGAAATGTCAAAAATGGCCTCATTGTCTAGTGCTTTCACCCCTTTGTTAAGATTATTTGGAAATGCCTAATCCCAAGGTCCAATGTATTTGGAATGGAGTATGGTTGTAAAGCTGGTAATTTCCGGTTTAAATAAATATACCTTTATGAAAAAAGGTATATTTATTTAAACCGTTTTGTCTTAAAAACAAACAACCCCATGCTAACTTTCGTTAGGTCTAGAACTTTCGATTCTTCATTCATAATTTGTCGCAAATAAAAACATTTGTGGATGTAAAAAAAAAATTTTAATCAATAATTAGACCAACTAAAAAAAATTTAAATCAATAATTAGAACACCTAAAAAAAATGTAAATCAATAATTAGACCACCTAAAAAAAATTTAAATCAATAATTAGACCACCTAAAAAAATTTAAATCAATAATTAGACCACCTAAAAAAAATTTAAATCAATAATTAGACCACCTAAAAAAAAATTTAAATCAATAATTAGACCACCTAAAAAAAAAATTAAATCAATAATTAGACCACCTAAAAAAAATTTAAATCAATAATTAGACCACCTAAAAAAAAAATTAAATCAATAATTAGACCACCTAAAAAAAAATTTAAATCAATAATTAGACCACCTAAAAAAAATTTAAATCAATAATTAGACCACCTAAAAAAATTTAAATCAATAATTAGACCACCTAAAAAAAATTTAAATCAATAATTAGACCACCTAAAAAAAATTTAAATCAATAATTAGACCACCTAAAAAAAAATTTAAATCAATAATTAGACCACCTAAAAAAAAATTTAAATCAATAATTAGACCACCTAAAAAAAAATTTAAATCAATAATTAGACTACCTAAAAAAAAAATTTAAATCAATAATTAGACCACCTAAAAAAAAAATTTTAATCAATAATTAGACCACCTCAAAAAAAAATTTAAATCAATAATTAGACCACCTAAAAAAAATAAATAAAAAGGTTTGCTTTGATGGTAATCCCTTGCCCTTATTTTAACGCGATTTATTATCTCTACAGAAATAAATTTCACAATCAGTTTTACCTTATGAATCATGAATGGAACTTCATTCAAAGAATTATTTTTTTTTTAAAAAGTAAAATACCATCCTTTTGTTGGAATACAACATCACTTCAACCAATTTTACGAGATAAAAAAAAAAAGTACTTTTGGTGAATCTTTTGTCTTTCACGGCGCCATTGTGGTGAATCGAGGAGAACTCTTCTATCTTCAAAGATTACGTTATAAAAGTTGCCCAATGTGTTCAAGCTTGTTGAGGAGGCAATTAGTCATTGGCTGCACCTATAGGTACCCGGGTACATATAGCCACAAAGGCTATTCGGACCCGGAGTGGCTCCAAATAGATTAAATGGCTTCGGAGTCGGGTGTGATAACAATAATAGTATGAGAATCTTTTTTAAAAAGTGTTTTTGCTCCTTATTTCATAGATTCATAGTTTTATTATTTTTGGTTGTGTTTTTTTTTCTTATTGCATGTAGTTGCTTTTTCTTTCTAATTTTATTTTTTTGTTTAAGCCACTTTCGTAGATCAATTTTTTTTTTTTAAATAGAGTAATCAAGATGATTTAGATACATTTATTGTTTTCATTTGAATTTTAGAAAAGTAATAATATTAATTTAATTATTAATGGACCACGTTATAGAATTTCACCAACAATAGAGAGCGACCAATGTCCAAGTGTTGGTTGATGTGTTACGTGTCCTCATAATGAGCAGATCTGGGAAATGTTACGAGCGGACCAGGGATTATGTTGCGATAGAGAGTTGAGAGTTGAGAGAACTAGAGAGTTGTGCCACCCACTACCACTAAGTTTAAAAAAAAAAAAATTCTTCAGCTCGCCGAAAATGCCACCCCTCATTTTAATTATTTTTTTTTCTAAGTGCCCTGGGCGAATGCACCCCCTGATATTGAGGTCCTTTGCGAGTACCACCTTTACATGGCTGTGGATGGATCCAATGGGCTAGAAAGAAATATCAGACAAAGTAGAAAGATTTATAAAATTAAAAAAATAAAATATTTAAATCTAAATATATCCTATTGGGCAACTTTTATAACGTATCTTTGAAGACAGAAGAGTTCTCCTTGTTTTCCCAAAATGGCGTCGTAAATGCCAAAAGAATCAAGAAATGTACATTTTAAAAAAAAATCTTGTACTATTTTGTTAAATGGTTGAACAAAAAGACGCAATTTTAAGTCTTTAGTTCCATCAGGTAAAGAGGATGTTTTAATTTTATATCACTAGAAATAATTATTCGCGCTTAAATTTCATTGCCTTAATTTAACTCTTTAGTTCCTTGAATTTTGCATGTTTTTCATGAGATTTCTAGTGACCTTAAAAAAGAGTCAATAACTTTTAGAAAACTTGTCTAAAATTCATGATGTCATATATATTATTGTGGGGAAATGCATGAGGTTTCTAAAAATATTTGTTTTCAAACACATAGTGTCAATACTTAGAAGTTGTGAAAAAAAAATGAAAATGTGTAAAAAAAAAAAAAATTGGTGATCACATG